AAATTCAGATATTGAAACTGACTCCCCAGTGTGATGGTATTTGGAGGTGAGGACTTCAGGAAGTGATTAGGTCATGAAGATGGAGCCAATGGGATTAGTGCCCCTATTCCCTTACTAAAGAGATCCCAGGGAGCTCACTTGTGATTTCTGCTATGTGAAGTTGCAACGAGAAGATGACTATCTGTGAACCAGGAAGTGAGCTTTCACCAAACGCTGAATCTGCTGGTGACTTGATGCTGGATTTCCCAGTTTCCAGAGCTGGCAGCAATAAATACCTGTTGTTTATAAATCATACAGTCTATGGTATTTTTGTTACAGCAGCCTAAACAGATTAAGACACGCCCCTTCTTCTGAGGTCACTTCAGGAAACTCACTGGGCCAATCTGAAAGTAGTAGAGCACCAAATAGCATTTCCACTAGCATGGATCATGCCTTTTGCTTCTAGGTCCGTACTAAGGGATATTTTGATAGAAGGCTGTTGTCATGCTAGCAGCCATTCATGATGGTGCGGAAAACATGCCATTCCTCCCCACCCTCCATTCCCTACCCATCTGGAATAATCTCTCCTGTGAAGTTGAAGCGCATTTTCAGATGTCTCAGCTGCGTCAAAAAGTCAGACATGTTCAAATAACTTAATTAGTGTAGCTTTGATTAATGTCCCTCAGAGTTTTTTAAACTTTATATGGATATACATTCATTATAATGCAAAAATCTGAAGTGTATATTTTGATGAATTTTACATGTGTATATATCCACATAACCACCACCCAGAGCAAGATATAAAATGTTTCTAGCAAGATGTATTTCCATAACTTCATACCTGTGAGATCATCTGTGTTTTTGCATGTAATTTGTCCCTTTTTATTCCTGTATAGTATTCATTCCACTGTATGCTTATGCCATGATTTATTTATCCATTTGCCCATTGGTGAATATTTGAGTTTTTCCAGTTTTTGCTGTCATGATGAAAGCTTCTTTGAACATTCTCAAACATGTCTTTTGGTGAACATATGCACTCCTTTTTCTTGGATATATACCTAAGGGTGTATTATTGGATCATAGAGTAGATTTCTGTTGACCTAGTAGATATTTCCAGAAAGTTTTCCAAAGTGCTTGTTATACTAATCCATACTCTCAGCAGCTTGTGTAAAAGTTCCCATTGCTTCTTGTCTTCACCAAAACTTCGTAATATCTATCTTTTGCAGGTTAGTCATTCTGGTGATATCTATATCTATCTGATACAATTATATAGTGATAATCTCATGTGAATTATTTTGCAGTTTTCTGAAGAATAGAGATTTTAAATACCTTTGCATATATTTTATTGTTATTCCCATTTGTTTTGCTGTCTGGATATCCTCTTTTGTGAACTGCCTGCCTGTTTCAAGACTTTCTGCCAATTTTTTAAATGGGGAATTTGTCTTATCTTACTGATATGTTGCAATTCTTATTTTCTTAAATATGAGTTCTTTGTCAGATCTTTCTACTTAAAACATCTTATAGCTTGTGACTTACTTTCCTTTTTTTTTTAATAGTGTCTTTTGAAAAAGTGTTTTTGATTTCAATGAAGCCTAATTTGCTGATATTTTTTCTTTTATGGTTAGTGCTTTTTGTGTCCTGTTTATAAATATTTTCCTACTTGATGGTACTCAAGACTTAAAATATAGTAATATTAAACATTATAGTCTCCAATATGGCTGACATTTTGATAAATATGATAAACTTTACATCATACTGCATGCATATTTATTAGCTATAGAGGTCATCAATTTTTAGTCATATAAATTTGATCTAATCTCTCAGGTACAATATGATTTGTTACTTGAATTCCTTGTATGTTGCTACTGCTTTTTCTTATGAAAATGTAAAACCCAATACTTAATCTGAAGTGCTAAAACTTGGATGTATGCGTGTTCTCACTTATAAGTAGGAGCTGGATGATGAGAACACATGGACACAAAGGGGAAGAACAGACGCTGGGGGCTACTTGAGGATGGAGGGTGGGAAGACGAAGAGGATCAGAAAAAAATAACTACTGGGTCCTAGGCTTAGTATCTGGGTGATAAAATAATCTGTACAACAAACTCCCATGACACGAGCTTACCTATATAATAAACCTGCACATGTATCCCTGAACCTAAAATTAAAGTTAAAAAGCAAAACAAAACTTGGGAATACATGTTTTGCTAAATATGTTCAAAGATGTAATAAATAATAGAAAACCATTTGTTTAAAAAAAAAAAGAAATGCATGGTTAATGTATTACAAAGGTGTGTCATTTAGTATTTGTTATTCTAAGATGTCATGTACACACACACAACACGCAGATATACACTGGGAGACAATTTTCTTATAGAGTACTACTTTATTTGTTTGTTTGCTTATTTATTTATTTGAGACAGAGTCTCACTCTGTCACCTAGGCTGGAGTACAGTGGCACGATCTTGGCAACCTCTGCCTCACGGGTTCAAGTGATTCTTGTGCCCCAGCCTCCTGAGTAGCTGTAATTATAGGTGTACACCACCATGCCTGGCTAATTTTTGTATTTTTAGTGGAGATGGAGTTTCACCATGTTGACAAGGCTGGTCTCAAACTCTTGGACTCAAGTGATCTCCCCACATTGACCTCCCAAAGAGCTGGGATTACAGGTGTGACCCACTGTACTGGGCCTAGAACACTACTTTAAATTCTTCGTGGGTTTTCTTTTCACATTTAAAAAATGTTTACCCAGGAAATTGAGGACACATAGACAAATGTGAAGAGAATAATGTTAATTCCCTCCTGCCCTTCAATTGGCTTTTACCATTTATCAACATTTTTCTAACCTTATTCATCACTTTCCTCATAAATAATTATTTTTTCTAGAGTATTTTAAAGAAAATTCTGGATATTTTATCTGTAAATATTTTATGAACCTCTAAAATTAAAACTTTTAAAATATAGCTACTGTGCCATTATCACATCCAACAAAATTAACAATGATTTATTAAATTCTCTAATAACTAGTCTATACTAAAATGTCTTATTTATTGTAGAGTTGTCTTTTTATAGTTGGCTTGTTCAAATCAGAATTCGAACAAGTCCTCATAATTGATTCTTGAGGTCCTTAAGCCTCTTCTGTCAGAAGAATTAGAGCTTTCTGACTTGGTAAAGTTAATGCACATGAGTATTCTTGACATACGGAGATATACAAAATTTCTCTTTTGTTTTTCTTTTTACTTTGAATAGGCGTACTAAACATGTATGCACACACACACACACACAACATTAAAAAATGCTTTGAAATTGTATACCTAGGGTAATTATTTTATTATTATGTGTTAAGTTTCTCTTAGATCACTTAAGTAAAGTTTACCTATTTGGCAAATTTATTTTCTAGAATATTTCAGATGACTCTTAATTGCCATTGAACAGTTGTATCAAAATTATATGCATATAAAACAAATAGTATTTGTTTTCCTGAAGCTTGGTAGTTTGTGATATCAAATTTTTATATTAAAAATTATATATACCATTCAAGCTAATGCAAGTTTGTAATTCTGTAATGGTATAATTAGATTGAATGACAAATGACATCATAAACCACAAAATTCCTCTTGTCATATCTTTCTTTTTGGAATGCGGACTTAACATACGGTGTTTTAATTTCAGTTTGTATAAGAGTTAGAATAAATCTCCACAGCATGTGTCTCTGTTACATTTATCCCTTGACTATTCATACCTGTGGATATTATACGTAAATTACAAAATCTATTCTTACGACTATTTTTTCCTTTTTTAAACCAATTTCCCATTTATACCAAAAATTTAATTACTCTGATAAGATTTCTAATAGGCATTTCTTCAGTTTCATATTGAAGAATAAAAAATATATAGCTTTTTTTTTTTTTTTTTTTGAGATGGAGTCTCACTCTGTTGCCCAGGCTGGAATGCAATGGTATGACCTCGGCTCACTGCAACCTCCCCTTCTGGGTTCAAGCAATTCTCCTGTCTCAGCCTCCCAAGTAGCTGGGATTACAAGCACCTGCCATCATACCCGGCTAATTTTTGTATTTTTGTACAGACAGGGTTTCACCATGTTGCTCAGGTTGGTCTTGAACTCCTGACCTCAGGTGATCCACTTGCCTTAGCCTCCCAAAGTGTTGGGATTACCTATGTGAGCCACAGCGCCCAGCCTATAGCATGTTTTTTAATTATTGGATTTAAAACTGTGATTCCCTCCCCATATACATATTTTTTAAGTTTTCATATTTTGTGATGTAGCTTTGTATGTTATTAAACATAAATGCATATAAGCATTTATATGCTTTAAGTCACAGTAAAAAGGTGAAAACATCATTTCATATAGAATAATTGTTTCATGGTAGATTACATGTGACAAACAACATTTACATATTTCTCAGATTTCATCTTCACAGTTCTGTTAATTAGATAGGCAGATACTTAATCTCTATTTTATAGATGAGAACTGGCCTCAAAGATGTTGACTTTTTGCCCAAAGTAATATCAGTCACTTCTGGACCTGCGCCTGGATTTTCTTTGTCCTAGTCTAGTTGTCATTTCATTAAACTATTATTATTGATGCAGTTGATATATTTTACTTTCAATAATGCTTAAAATTGTATTTTGGTCTTTAGTTGATTCTTGGCTAATCAGTTGTAATTTTTCTGCTTTAGTCATTGTAAACCTTTCTGATATGTTTTCAAAATGTACTTTCTTGAAACTGAGCTTCTAGCATTGTTAATATCAGTTAAGAAAACTACAAGTGACTCAAGTAATGAGAGAAAATTCAAGCATGCATTTTGTTACACAATAAAGGCAGAAAAGGAGTATACGAAGATTTTCTGAAATCTTCTGCTACTGAAATTCATCAAATGTGATTTTTCTTACATATATAATATGAGATGTGAATGATTTTCAACAAGAGAAGTAGAACACATTAATCTCCATAATTCCTAACAGCATTTAATTTTTGTGGGTATTTTGTTCTTTTTTTCTAGTGGCTTTTCATGGCCTACCCCTGAAAATCAAGAAAGAACCCCACAGTCCGTGTTCAGAAATCGGCTCTGCCTGCAGTCAAGAACAGCCCTTTAAATTCAGCTATGGAGAAAAGTGCCTGTACAATGTCAGGTAAAGCCACCAGGTGTTTGTATATAAGATAGTGGTTCTTATTGAATCAAAAAGTCCAGAATAATATGAAATCTCAAGTCATATTTTATGAGTTACATCTTTAATATATAACAAGCTAATTAGGTAATGCATTTAGCAGAATTCTAAAGAACCATTTACCATCCAAACACACACTTTGGATTCATTTTAAAGCAATAATTTTTATCCAGATCATTAGTTGCTTTTCTACTGTAGGGATGCATCTTGGGTTTGAAAAAGGAGTTTTACTTGGCACAAGCAACTTTTGAAAGTTCCCATTAGAATGAATGCATTATACACTTTAGATAGAGTTTGTAGAAAAAAAAAAGATGAAACATTTGGCAGGTCTAAGCAGTACATTAGTTATCTGTCAGGTTTTGCAGATGATCTATAAGATGAGTTCATGGACAATTTGCAATAAAACTGGAATTTCATAAGACTTAGCAGAGGCTATTATCTATTCAAAAGCTGGTTGTTCTGATGATGATAATAAAGGGTGGTGCAGTAAAAGTACATTGTTCATTTGTTAGAAAATTTTATCACATATATGTTCATTAAAAACCCTTCAAAGTAAATTGCATGATGCTACTTTTCATATTGGCCTGTAATTGTATAAAGAAAAAGTTGGCTGTCTCTACTGAGTATTATCACTCTCAATTACAGTAGAAACTTAGTTCTTACAAGGAGTTTGGAAACTTACACAAATGATTCCAGATATTCGTACTGTTTTGTAAGTTATGTCAATTCAGATTCATCATACATTATGACTCAAAGGAGTCTTCTATTAAATATTTCCTCAGATATTTATTGCATACACTGTTTATGTCCAAGATATGTAAGAGTCTAGAAACATAGGCCATATATGGTGGCTCATGCCTGTAATCTCAGCACTTTGGGAGGCAGAGCTGGGCAGATGACCTGAGGTCGGGAGTTCGAGACCAGCCTGACCAACCTGGAAAAGCCCCGTCTCTACTAAAAATACAAAATTAGCCGGGCATGGTGGCGCATGCTGTAATCTCAGCTACTCCAGAGGCTGAGGCAGGAGAACTGCTTGAACCCGGGAGGTGGAGGTTGTGGTGAGCAAAGATCGTGCCATTGCACTCTAGCCTGGGCAACAAGAGAGATAATCCATCTCAAAAATAAAAAAGAAACATAGACTTGTGCCATTATGGCAGCTGACCAATGCTCAGATATTTTATTACCATTTGTTCTTGCAAACTTGTCTTTTATGTTTGCTTTTCTAAGAGGTTCACCAGAGCCCGAAATGATGAGCAGGCTCAATTGAAACTGCAAAGTTTAATAAAAAAGGTCTCTTGTAGAAGCTAACTATTAAAGCATACTGAGTTCAGATAAGACAGTATTGATCGATCTGAGTTTTATTTTATAGTTCAGTTTTGTTTTTGCATTTTTTTCTTACAAGTACTGTGTATCCACAACGTAATTATTTAACATATTGAGGAATTTCTAGTCAATGCCAGTTAGATATAGAATTGTCATTGCCTTTCAGCATTAATCAGAATTGTGATTGTGAAATCATCACTGTTTTATATGCCATATCTGACATCCATAAATCAATAATAAAGGAATTGCCTGAATATTTTGAGTTTCTTTTGGGGGATGAATAATCTCCACAGTGATATATGGTATATGCAATAAATTCTGGTACTTCCATCTCTATACAGAAAATATTATTGAGTACAGCATTTCATGGGGGAATAGTTTCTTTTTTTTCTTCATTCATGAGAATGAGTTAGGTTAACCATTTCACAAAAGAAGTGGGTTTTTCTTCAGAAATACTGGTAAAGAACATACGTGTAACCAAACATGCACTTCATTATATGAACATTGTTGACTTTGCTTTAAAGCAAGAGCGGGCTTGTGCAAAATGTATTCTTTTACTCCTTGTAAAAGATTTTTGCAGATGGATATAATTCCGTTGCATTGATGGAGCAATAGAATAAATTATTACATAATTTAATTCAAAAAGAAATATTTCTTTCTAGTGTACTGATGATTGCTTTTTATTTTATTTTACTTATTTTTTTTTTTTGAGACAGGGTCTCACTTGGTCAGCCAGGCTGGAGTGCAGTGGTGCGACCTGGGCTCACTGCAACCTCTGCCTCCCGGGTTCAAGTGATCCTCTCACCTCAGTCTTGTGAATATCTGAGCCTACAGCCATGTGTCACCACGCCCAGCTAATTTTTTGTATTTTTAGTAGAGACGGGGTTTCACCAAGTTGCTCAGGCTGGTCTTAAACTCCTGTGCTTAAGCGATCCTCCCACCTCAGCCTCCCAAAGTGCTGGGATCACGGGCATGAGCCACTGTGCCCAGCAAAATGAAATACATCATTCTAACTTAGAAATGTCCTGTTTTAAAAAAAATTTAAGGAAATTTAGTTTTAGTAAAATATTTTATAGATGACATTAGTTAAATCACATTCCTGAAATTTACGCATAGGAAAGCAGTTTAAAATCGTAATATAAAATCAAGCTTACTCATTTTATTATTTTGTAATTGTGAGTGTTTAGGAGTTAGACTGTAATAGGATTTTATTCCTAATAACATTATTTTGTACTTATTCTCCAAGAAAGTTTAAATATATCAGACATTTTAATTTACCTCATTAATCTTCATTATTCCATGTGAGGAAGTTAAGGCCAAGCATCATTTATTTAATATAATAAAATGAAAATAAAGTAAAAGCATTGCCTTCTTAAAATCCCACCAGAAATAAAAGCAAGCCAGGTATAGTCTCTACCTTATTAAGCTGATGTTAGTTATTGTTTTAAAATCTTATATAATATAAAAGAAAAATATAGTCTTAGAACTATTTAATGATTCAGGAAAGATCTATCAAACTTTCTTAAATAGGTATATCAAGAGTAAATGGAAAAAATACCACTACTTTTCTGGACAGTAATTTTCCTTATACTAAGTTGTTTGTATATGCATTAAAAATACACATTTAATATTTGTGCTGTTACAAGGTTTTGCATTAATTATCCTATTTTCTGTTTAAGGGTGTTGTGATTTTTGAAGTGTATCTGTTCTGGATTTAAAAAACAACAGCAACAACAAAGTTTTCATTTCCATTTGACTTAAGTCTAAAATATCTTTTCTTCCTTTGGATTAGAAACTTTTTAAAAAAATAGCTCCAAAGAAAGAAATGTTCTCTTTTCTTTTGTCCCCTGGGTAGTGCCTATGATCAGAAGCCACAAGTGGGAATGAGGCCCTCCAATCCCCCCACACCATCCAGCACGCCAGTGTCCCCACTGCATCATGCATCTCCAAACTCAACTCATACACCGAAACCTGACCGGGCCTTCCCAGCTCACCTCCCTCCATCGCAGTCCATACCAGATAGCAGCTACCCCATGGACCACAGGTAACCTGCAGATACCACTTTTCTAGAAACTGTTTTTTGCATTCTTGGAAAAAATTTCTATTAACAGTTCTGAAGACCTAGATTAGATTTAAGGTGAGCCTATTAATTTTGCACATCTGTGCAAAATATTTTTAGAAAGAGCTCACTCTATCTATACTTATAATTTGTGGAGAAAGTCATTTATAAACATTCCTTTTATAAACATTTAAATTGGTTGCTAAAATGGAAAATTAATCTATCTACTGACATTTGAGCATTTCCCTTTCGCTTTGCTTGAATTAAATTGCTTCACTTAAACTTTAAATCAGATCATCCCACTTTTATGAGCATATGTGTGTACTTCTTCTGTAAAGTTAGGAGACTAATTTTAGTAGGTAGCTTATGGAATTAGGTTTTTTACCTTATATTGAATGGTTCAGCTGTACATAGTTTTGCAGAATAGAACTTATTTGATTAAAACTGTTTACCATCCTTTCCAAGTGATGAATATTTAATATCAGTAGACACATGACTCTGGACACTGAGAATATACAATTAAAGAGATAGAGACTCAATTAGTATTACTTAGAAAGGAGCAAGACAGGAAACATAGCATAGATCTAAGGAGAATACTGTGTTAGGTAATTCGTGACTCCTTGAGATTAAGAAATTCATATTTAAATAAAATATGAAATAAAACCTGTAGAGGTTCTGAGATGTACTACCTTAATATACAGCTTAAAATCCAGGTTGCTCATATACAGCAGCTCTCCTTCTTTATCACTTCTGCCTTGTGCTGCTGTATGCAGTGGTGTGCTGGTAAATGTTTAGCAATATTTACCATTTACTGGTAAATGTTTAGCCTGCATGGGAGAAAAACAAAAAGGCCTCATCAGTAGCTTTTGCTGGGTCTGTGATGTACATATTGCTTTCATGGCCCACGATGAGCCATCACTGTGACAACCCTGAATGCCGACTTGCAAAGATGCAATAGCACAGCATAATGTAGTATTTCTAGCATACGGATACGGGAGACATAAGTAACCTCAGGTGTATAACTGGTAATGAAATGTAGTAAAATAATTAGAAAGTGATGAGTATTGCATTTTTATCTTTTGTTTTTAACATTTTTTTGACTGTGAAGTTGTATAATTTAACTCCTAATAGTGGCTGTGTTTAAGAACTGGCTCAAAAAATGCCTGCAAATTTAACAATAAGTCAGTGCAAACTGGCTCTGAGACACCATTGTAAAAATAACTCAGCCAAAGGAATCTTCTAGATCAGCAGAGGAAAGCAGAAGATATGCCACTGGCAACTTTCTGAAAATAAGGGAGCACTCAAGTCTGCTTTTTATAGGTTTTTTTCATGGGACTCAATCTCAAAATCAGAAACTCATTTTGCTATAAAGGGCATAAGATGAAAGCATTCTTTACAATGTGATACAAAGCCTTATCTTTTCCACTCTTGTATCCATCACTAGGTCCTCTTGTGGGGTAGTTATTAAATGCTTCCTATTATCTTTTTCTTCTCACCCCGTAGCCTTGAGACTTTGTCAGAGTGCAATGGTATGTCCATCTGTGTAAACAGTTTTGTAAATACAGATGAAAGAATTCTTATTGCAGGGTGGGCCATTAAACAGATGCACATTGTGCACAGCTAAAAGGGAACAAAAGTATGAACAAACAAAGTTTTATTTCCTCCACTACTGGTGACTTCTCGGAGTTCTCGATAACTGAATCTCACTCTTCTGATCAGTGCCAGAATTATAGATTGTATAATTCACTTTTTGTGCAAACTGGTTATTTCTTAGGGAAGGTGACTGCTGAATAAGCAGTGTGCCTGGTTTTAGGTGACCTAACTTGAAATGCTTTAGCCAAATCCATTTTAGTTTCTCTACTTGAAGTCAAATATTTGAGACTGAGAACAGCCGGCCCGGAACTCCAAGAGGGAAGCTCGGGGTCTTTTCCCACTGACCCCTGACTGAGTTTTGAGGACAGTACCAGCTGGCCAGTCCCGGGAAAATCTCTAAAGCCGTATGTTTCTGAGGAGGATTTCTTAGAGGGCTCTGGCCAACAAATGACAGTCCCTCAGTTATAAATGGCAAATTTGCTCTGGGAACAGATCCTTTCCCCAGAACACCCCCTCCAGCCAGGCACCCCACTTCACTCTGGGAACGCTTTACGGCCAACTGGCCTGCACCCTGCTTCCTTTCCTCAGCCTCACTCTGCTCCTCGGGCCAGCCCTTTGGCACTTTTTCCTGAACCCACTGTGCAGGAGCCCTGTCTCTCTTTCTCAGTGTTTCCACCACTTACACCCTGTTTTTCTTTATCCGGGAGTTCATCAGCATGTTCTCTGTATCTGTTAACTCCTTTCCAGAAGCTTCTTGAATCACTTTCTCTTTACCATTGGTCAGCGGCTCTTAAGAATTACACCGAAACCTTGCAACTTCTGGGAAGCATGCGAGTTTGATATATACATGTTCCCCAGCAACTTCCAACTGGAATCAGGTCGACTCGTAAAAACAAATGGCTTGATTCCTTACAAAGCTTTCAGTTACAAGTATTATTAACTTCCTTTTAAGGCTTCACAAGTAAGCCAGTTTCTTATTTTAACTTTAAGTTACAATTTTCTGATTCACTCCTTGACAGTTCTTAATGATAATTTCTGTTTCTTTTTTTGGCTAATGAAATAAGCAAGAGAAGGGAAATGAATGCAGTGCCAGTCAGCCTAACTGCTCTGCAATATCCGAGTTTCTAAGTTTATTTTCTGCAGGTGTAGGTGGAATTTCAGTGCTTTCCATGACCGCCAGTGAGCCTAGAGTTAAATCACAGGATGGAGTGTTCTTAGAAATGCTAAAGCAATTGCTTTGCCATTCTTTAGCTTTTACCTTATTTTCATTTAACATTACCGAAATTAAATGCTAACTTTCCAAATTAAAGTCTCAGGAATACTTTTAGTAGGGGGGTTAATAGGCTTATATTTGCTCATAGAAATGTTTTATAGGTTATTTTTAAGCACTCCTGGGGCATTTTTAGAGCACTTTTAAATCTTTAATTAATCCACATCTTTGTGGTGGGTCAATGATATTATGGATGAGAAACACAGAACAGTACGATTATGTGATTAGCCAATCGTTATAAAGTATAACCAAGAACAAAGAGGCATAGGACTCATTTCTAGCCTTCTGCCGAGGTCTCAGAACTTCCTCATATCCTAACAGCGGGACTTGCCCCAAATCTATACAACACTATACGTTATTTTCACCTTTGGAGATCAGCTGTGTATTTACGCTTATTTTTATCACCCTGATAATGTATTTGAATCTATTGGAAGCCAATATGGTCTGCATTGCTGTTTGACAGTAAAGAGGTAGTCTTTTTAAAACCAGCTTGGGTTTGAGTCCTTATAATAAACAGTTTTGTTTATTGCTAAAAGACAATGTTAACTAGGACATTGTTGAGGAATTGAAACTCCTGCTGATTTAAGAAGAGTCATTCCTCTCTTGCTTCCTCAGCAATGGATAGTAATGGAAGGAAAACCAATAGGTAGATTTTTGTTTGTTTGGTTTTTTGTTTCTTGATCAGTTTGGTAATAGAATTAAAAGACAGAGGATGTAGTTTGAGATCAGACCCTATTCCTCCCTCCCCTTTTTTTTCTTGTATATAATCATTTCAGACCCCTTTGTGTAGAAATTATCAGTGATCCAATTGATTTAGAACTGGTCGTTTTAGCCATTAATGGGTGTGTGTGTGTGTGTGTGTGTGTGTGTGTGTGTGTAAAATCCTCAAAGTTGTTCATTGCTCTCCAATCTTTACTCAAAGTACATCTTTAATTCATATACTGCAACAGTGCTGCAAGAGACTGATTAGAAGGGGAATATAAGTCATATGATTAAAAAACATAGAGCTACTAATCCAGGAAAGAAAAATGTAATGCTTGTTAAAGATTTACACTTCAGGTCAGCTGGTATCATGTTCATTCACTAAGAAATGAAAAACTGTATCAGTATTTTAAAGAATATTCCATGTTACCATTTCATCTGAAACACACTCTCTTATTCCCTAGATTTCGCCGCCAGCTTTCTGAACCCTGTAACTCCTTTCCTCCTTTGCCGACAATGCCAAGGGAAGGACGTCCTATGTACCAACGCCAGATGTCTGAGCCAAACATCCCCTTCCCACCACAAGGCTTTAAGCAGGAGTACCACGACCCAGTGTATGAACACAACACCATGGTTGGCAGTGCGGCCAGCCAAAGCTTTCCCCCTCCTCTGATGATTAAACAGGAACCCAGAGATTTTGCATATGACTCAGGTAGGCCCCTGCTCTACTCAAATTACATTCAAGGCACCTTTTCACCTCCCCTGGCACATTGGTTAGTGTTGGTATCAGACTGGGTAGCTCCAGACCATTTTTTAGTGAGATCTTTCAGATATTGTCCCTTCATTGAAACTTCATCTACATGTAAAGATTTAGACTATCAAGTCATTTTGACATGAGGTGATGTTGAAATGTCTGGGAACAAAACCAGTTCAAAGAAAAATACACTTTACAGAATCATGCACAGTCGCAGCTTGAGAGGGACATTGCAATGTTTTTTCTTAATTCTGCACTTTTTTTCTTCTTATTTTGCTACTACAGTGCTACTTAATAACATTGTTTACAGAAAGTAATATTCTTCTGAACTAGGTCACATATTGCTTATAACATTTTTAAAAAAATTACTGAGGTCCTGGTGTGGCATGTCACGCCTGTAATCCTAGCACTTTGGGAGGCTGAGACCGGCGGATCATGAGGTCAGGAGATCGAGATCATCCTGGCTAACACAGTGAAACGCTGTCTCTACTAAAAATACAAAAAAATAGCCAGGCGTGGTGGCAGGTGCCTGTAGTCCCAGCTACTCTGGAGGCTGAGGCAGGAGAATGGCTTGAACCCGGGAGATGGAGGTGGCAGGGAGCCAAGGTTGCAACACTGCACTCCAAACTGGGTGACATACTGAGACTCTATCTCAAAAAAAAAAAAAAAAAAATTATTGGTGGCAAAGATTCTAAGTGTTCTTAAGTAAGAATTCTCACATATTAAGAGGGGAATAACACAGATTATTCGTAGAGCTTAGCTTTGTCTCTGTGAGCTAGAAAGTAGTACAAAGCTGCACGTCAAGTAGGGGAGAGGGGTTTCCTGAAAGGAGGGAGGGTTTAAAATCTTTTCCAAGCCGTACACAGTGGCTCATGCCTATAATTCCAGCACTTTGGGAGGCCGAGGTGGGCGGATCACAAGGTCAGGAGATTGAGACCTTCCTTGCTAACATGGTGAAGCCCCGGCTCTACTAAAAATACAAAAAAATTAGCCGGGCGAGGTGGCCGGCGCCTGTAGTCCCAGCTACTCAGGAAGCTGAGGCAGAAGAGTTGCTTGAACCCGGGATGCGGAGCTTGCAGTGAGCTGAGATCGCGCCACTGCACTCCAGCCTGGGCGACAGAGCGAGACTCCGTCTCAAAAAAAAAAAAAAAAAAAAAAAAAAAATAGTACCACCAACTTTACCAATATTTGAACCTTGAGACTTTAGAAGAATTACTTAACTCTGCTGAGTTTTTCCTTCTATAATCTGCCAAATCAGGACATCTGTTTTTAACACATCTCAGGTATTTTGAAAAATAATCTATGAAATACAAGCTAATGTTTATAAGGTTACCATGTACCTGTAAAATATTGTTAACATTATTGTATCTGTGGTCAATAGATGGTTGTGGATGTGGACATATCATTTCCTTTTGTCTGGATATAAAGTTTGGGCATTCTTTAGGAAGCGACTGTTGCTTCCTCTGCTGAGTTTTTCTTTTTCTTTTTCTTTCTTTTTTTTTTTTTTTTTGAGATGGAGTCTCGCTCTGTTGTCCAGGCTGGAGTGCAGTGGTGCTATCTTGGCTCACTGCCAGCTCCTCCTGCTGGGTTCACGCCATTCTCCTTCCTCAGCCTCCCGAATAGCTGGGACTACAGGCACGTGCCAAGGCGCCCGGCTAATTTTTTGTATTTTTAGTAGAGACGGGGTTTCACCGCGTTAGCCAAGATAGTCTTCATCTCCTAACCTCGTGATCCGCCCACTTCGGCCTCCCAAAGTGCTGGGATTACAAGTGTGAGCCACTGCACCCGGCCCCCTCTGCTCAATTTTTGTATCATTAGTCTACCTGAGTAAAGAAAACTATCTCCAGGTCTTGAGTTACCAGTTTGCATATAAGATTACCTACTTGATAATGAACTGTCCTTAAGGCTCTTCAACAGAGAACCCTATGACTTAGAAGTCTGCTTCTAGTCATCCTTCTACACTGGCCAATAAGATCAAAGGACGAGGGGAACTGGCCCTCTTGAGGCATGCCTCAACTTCTAGAAAGCATGCGGGCTCCCCAGGACCTATGAATTCTCTGCCCAAGTGGCCTTAAGTCTACTTCCAGGGCCTGAGTAAGTTCATCCCAGGCCCTGTTTTCTGAAAAGCAGAACACATTGCTCCTATATATAGCCCTAGATTCAAGGGTGAAGGGCAGCTGTTTGTGAGGGCATGAGGATGAATCTTGATATGTGAGACTCTTACAGTGTGGCCCAATATTGAGCTCAAGGATAGGAAGAGACACAAAATTTAGGGTGTGCCAGGATCTGAAGACTGGGTACTGGCTCTCTTCATACCATACTCTTCCTGGATCATTTTAGAGATTTCCTCAACTACTAAATTTGACATAGCTGCGAGGTTGTTATGGTATATAGTTGCAAAGATGAGGAGACATCTTATTTATCACTTTGCTTGACTGATTTATAATTTAAGAAATTTTAGCAGATTATATAAGGGTCTTCATTTGAATTTTTGCCCCAGGGTCTGTAATTTGGGGAGTATCTTGAAATTCCCCTTGTGGTTTCAGTTTAAAATCTTTTGTATCTGTCCATTGGTGTCTATAATGAAGAACCCTGCAATACAGTGGGCTTTATTGTAAATAGTATACATTTCTCTCTGTAAATTTCAAATACTGTTAATTAATATTATCCTTATTCCCCAAACCACATTTTAATTTGTTGTAGTTTTAAAAATTAATCATGATTTCAAGAAACTTTACGTGGAAATCATATAAATTATCTCAAATAATCATTCCAAAGAACATGTATAGCATAGCACTTAAAATGTTTCTTTTTGTGCTCTAGAAATTTTTTTTTTTTTTGAGGTGGAGTCTCGCTCTGTCACCCAGACTGGAGTGCAGAGAGGTTCATTCTCAGCTCACTGCAACCTCTGTCTCCCGGATCCAAGCGATTCTCCTGCCTCAGCCTTCCAAGTAACTGGGATTACAGGCACCCACCACCACGACCCTCTGATTTTTGTATTTTTAGTAGAGACGGGATTTCACCATGTTGGCCGAGCTGGTCTCGAACTCCTGACCTCAGGTGATCCGGCCGCCTTGGCCTCACAAAGTGCTGGGGTTACTGGTGTGAGCCACCATGCCCTGCCTAGAAATGTTTTTATATGTATGATACCAAAAAGAGCAACATTGAAACTCTTCTCTTTTTTTTTTTTTTTTTTTTTTTTGAGACAGAGTCTCGCTCTATTGCCAGGCTGGAGTGCAGTGGTGCGATCTTGGCTCACCACAACCTCAGCCTCCTGGTTCAAGTGATTCTCCTGCCTCAGCCTCTGAAGTAGCTGGGATTACAGGCATGCTCCACCATGCCCAGCTAATTTTGTATTTTCAGTAGAGACGGGGTTTCTGCAGGTTGGTCAGGCTGGTCTCAATCTCTTGACTTCGTGATCCACCCGCCTTGGCCTCCCAAAGTGCTGGGATTACAGGTGTGAGCCACCTCACCTGGCCTGAAACTCTTTTCTTAATTCTGTTGCTCCATGTATATCTTCTCCTCATATTTATATTGTATATACAGTTATATGTAGTGTGGTATTGAGAATGTATAACTTTTCTTAAGAAGATGTGAACCTAATGGAAAAGAGATTTTACGATTCTAATAAGGGCGAAATATAGAATCTTGTGCTGTAAGAATTACATTCGTACATAATACGGACTTCAGAGCCAGTCACTCTTTGACCCTCAAAAGCACAGACTGAGTCATACATAATCTTCAAAACATAGTCCAGCATCGGTTTTTGAAGGTATGTATGGCATCTCTTTTGTAAGTATGCCATGTCTTGGAGATTACTTATAAAATACTTACCTAAAAAGCTGTTAATTTTATATTGTATTCTCCCCTTTAAACTATATTTAAAATTACCAAAGTTGTATACCACCTTTGAGTTCTAATTTCAATATTGCCAGTAGGATACAGTTGTGTTTTGCTTGAATAGGTAAATGGTAAAATTATATCCTTCTGATAGGATTTAAAATAAATATAGTAACCCCATAACCAGGGCTTATGAAAACTTAATCTGTGGGTATCAAAATGTATTTTGCTGGCCATGAAATTGCTGCAGTTAAGTTGACACATCTGTATATGTCATGCATTGCAATCAAGAAGTATGATCTGTAGATATTTTGTTTGCTTGTTTTTAGTTTTTTCATCCCTGCTGAAAGTACACTTAATAACCTTTGAGGAAATCTAATGTATTTATCACTGAATCACTGATTTCTTTTTTCACTTATTGGTGTTGAGCAAATAGCACATTAGGAAGCACATAGATTTATATGTGGTTTAAAAACAATGTAGAAAGCATTTTCTTTTGTATTTGTATTTGTATTTTGAGACGGAGTTTCATTCTGTCACCCAGGCTGAAGTGCAGTGGTGTGATTTCGGCTCACTGCAACCTCCGCCTGCCAGGTTCAAGCAGTTCTCCTGCCTCAGCCTCCCAAGTAGCTGGGACTACAGGCATGTGTCACCATGCGTAGCTGATTTTTCTATGTTTTTAATTAGAGACGGGGGTTCACCATGTTGGCTAGGCTGGTCTCAAACGCCTGACCTCAAGTGATCTGCCAGCCTAAGCCTCCCAAAGTGCAGGGATTACAGGCATGAGCCACTGCGTAAAAAGCATTTTCTAAGTCAATTACGATCTCAGCATCTACAATCCAAAGGCTATTCTTATGGAAGGCCTTTAGAACTCTTTATTGCTTAATTCTATACACCATAAATGTTGTGAAAATAAAAGAAGCCTCATAAGGGAAAAGGTAGCATGATTGTGCTCTAATAAAGCCTGACATTAATTATGACATGGGAAATGGAAGGTCTATTAGTTATAATTATAATTACAGGAATGCAATTTCAACTGCCTAATCTTTAAGATAAAAAATGCAAAATACTATGTTAGTAGAGTAGGATTTTTTATTCAGGAGAAAAGGAAAAAACTT